AGGTGGAGGAGGAGGCGCGCTGGATTCATAAAGAGCAGGCAAAATTCGATTAACGCACCGGCTGGATATACGATAAGGCATCTTTCCTGTGCTTTCTTCAACAAGCGCCTCTTCGCGTCTCTCTCTCTCTCTCCTCTATCTCTTTCGATTCTCCTCTCTCCTATTTATTGTGCCTGCGCGGATCTGCGTGCTGCTACCATATATAGAATATAAGCGAGAGAGAGAGAGAAAGAAAAAAAAAGAGAGACAGGCGAGTTACACAGAAACGTTTGATGAGGTAAAAAAAGTTCATTCAACATTACGTGTGGTGCTCGGGTACGCGTATTCGTGTCTACGGATCCGGAAGGAGGGTGAAAAAAAAAAAGGAAGAAGAGTCAGCTTCTCGATTGTCCACTGGGCGTTCGTTTGTTTTTACCCGAGCTCCCCGGACTCTCTATAGTTCTTGAGCTTTTTAATGTAAAATGCTTTATCTCCTCTCACCCAGAATATGACATTGGATTTGAATGGAAAAAAAATTTCTCTCTCTCTCTCTAAAAAGTCGCATCGTAATATCCACTCGGGGCATTATCAGCGAGATGTTCGCGCGCGAAATACCTGCACGATTCGCGCATTGTATTACATTATGCAACTTTGAAATTGTAATCTATTATATTGCACGACTCGATAGAGAATAGGGGAAGGTGGGGTACTGTGTGGCAGTCGGGCATGTATATTATCTAAATAATTATGCAATCAACAATGATTTTAGCAATAATGAATGAATGTATCAACTTCAAATTGCTCAAACTACCACGTGTCAAAAAATTAGCATGAAAAACCAATTTTTTTTATAAAATCGATGCTGCTTAAATTATGACATGTGTGAAAGAGCAGTAAATCTAACTTCGGATGGATAATACATTTTGAAATAAACTTTTTTTTTTAATGCAACTAATTCCAACGTATAGTTGAACTTAAAAACTATAATTCCCCGTATTTTAAATAAAAAATAAACATTTTTTTTTTTTAATATTGATCTTTAAAAAAAAGTAGAGAATGGGGCATGTGTGGCACACTAGGTGGGGCATGTGTGGCACCCGATCGCGCATCTTAGTTTCCCCACTCCTGTCGATGGACCTGCGCGTTCGCGAGTTTTTACGTTTAAAATATATTTGAAAGAAAGTTTTAATTTGAAATATGGTGCGAAATTATAAAAAAAAGAACTGTAAAAATAATTGGACTGAAGAGCAAATGCGACAAGCGATAAACTATCATCAAAGTGGAAAATCTGTCTTGGCAGCTGCTAGAGAATACGGTATCCCACGCTCAACTCTTCAGAAAAAGATATGCCAATATAATCAGGATGATAATTCTTCTCTGAAAAATGATTATAAAGGTAATTATATCATATTTTAACTATAAAATTTAGTAATGATTGCTTGACTAGGTATTTTGCATTCTCANATACAATAATCAATAATCAAAAAATATCGATATTGTCTTGTATCGTGAAACACTAATTCCATTTAAAAATCACCAAAAAACAAATCAATTAATTGATTATGTATTTAAAAAAAAATTTAAATGGTAATTTTTTGATGATAAAGCCGTCAATAATGTTGAGCATTTCTGCCAGATGCGTATTTTTCATTCATAAAACTAAAAAATTTGTCTCAAAAATCCTTCAATTAATCTAAAATAAAACTTGATTGTTAAATAATCGATTCTAAAATTTTGCACTCGATGCACTACTAACTTCACGACTTACCAAAACATTCGATCTCAGTACTTCATGACTTTTGAGAGAGAGGATACACATGCGCCTGTACAGTGTAAAGCCCCTCGCCCAACAAGCGCTCATCTCTTGTTTCTCGCTGAAATATTCGTACGAGCTAATTCCCTGGGATTCCGATCGCACGCATGTACATACCGGTCAGCTTACACGACGCGACCGTAATATCGAACGTTCATCGCTCTCGTTTGGAATGAGAAAATTTCGTTTTTTTTTCCTCTATCGAATCGGCGAGAAATCAACTGACGGCTCGTCGTCGCGCGTACACCGGTAAAAACGATGGAAGCTAAGCGCGACTGCGCTAGCGCTCATCGACGATAAAGTTTCTCTTATCAATTTCCGGCTGGCTTTTACAACAAAACGACAAAAAAAAAAGAAGCCGCTTCGTTATTGGCTGGGCACTTTTATAATCTTCGTCCAATGAAGGTGCTCGAGCGTACCGTATCTCTTCCAACTTACTTTCTGCTGTGCGCGCGCGAGCGCTCTTATCTTTCGGCAAAGCCAACGGCAAAACGCATGAATATTCACCTTTGTGTTCTAACTTTTATTTCTCTTTCCGCCCTGACATCGCTCACGGACTGATAACAAAAAAAAAATTAAACAACGTGAACTGCCGTCGTTTATCAGTCATTTTGAACTAATTGAAGTATAACAAGTGCGATTCTGTCATTGTCGATTTTTGCGTGTCGAGCCAGAAAACCTCTCGTTTCTATCGATTCGGAATTGAATTTTTGAGATCACCTCTTGAGAAAAAAGCGAACAAATTAAAGAAACAGGTGAGCAACAGTGTTCACGCGTCGGCTTAAATTTTTTATTTTGCGAACGATCTTAATAGGATTATCATCGTACCGTCGGTATCTCGAAAGTAACATGTTTATGAGTTACGAGCACAAGTGCACAAGTGACAAGTTGCCGAGTAAAAGTACGCTTCGAGGTTTTTTTTCTCAAATAAAATAAATGTTTTAAATATACATCGAAACATTCTAGCGTTTTCATAAATCCTGCCCTGATTATACAATTCTATATCCATATCTTTTCAATTTATTCAAAGCGGAGCTGGAAAAAGGAACGCGTAACGAGTTAATAGATCGCGCGCGGGGTGAAATTGGAAAATGAAATCCTCTCGACGATTGGTATGCGCTAGCGCTCGTATCTTCGTAGAATCGGCCGAAGAAGAACACGGCGTGGAATCGTAATAGAATATGTCAGTGCAAGCATTGATAAATACGGAATCGGCCAGCAAGATCTCTTTTTACGGCTCGCGCGCGCGCGCGCGCCCACATGTATAGTACAGATACAGACGATATATACATATAGCTGCGCAGAATAAGAGAGGAGCGTTAATTATTTTCTCTATGTATACGGCTGAAGCGCGCACGCGAGAGGACAAAATCGACAAGGATACATGTACAACAGTGTGTAGAATGAGAAATCTCCGGGCGATCAGCATTCGCCAATTATAATCTGGTCTCTTGGACTCTTTTCTTCTCTTGATCGCGTATGTGCGCGCGTGTGTGTTTGTGTTTATATACATGTACGCGTGTACAGGTTCCTCTGCAAACTGCAAACTGCTGCTGCTGCTGCTTCTACTGCTGCGCGGACACGCAGTCGCCCCCATACAGCCGTCGAGGACTCGGCTTATCTGATTCTGCGGGAGAGGTGTTAATTCACGCTTCACCCACCCTCTCACTCTCTCTCACTCTCTGTTATTGCTTCTCTCCCTTCGCTGCTGTATACGTCTGTGTGTGTATATATAAACGAAATACACGCGTTCGTTGGATAGAATTGGCAAACGACTTTTTGCGCGTGTGTGTGTGTGTATATAAACGCTTTCGCAGGTATAAGGTCTCGTATACGTGTACGTACACGTGTACTCGCGAGTGCCCGCGCTTTACTTTTCTATCCGCAGAAACGAGACTCGATTGTTACTTCTTTTTTGTGTTTTTGTTTTATTTTTTTTTCGTAGTCGTCTACGTAACGCTTCATTGGTACATTTCGATATTTATCGCCGTTTATGAAGTTAAAAGTTTTTGCGCCCGGAGCGAGTAGAACAGAACGAGAGAAAAAGAGGGATCGGCTCTTTTTATAATTGATTTTTTAACACACACAGGTGTTGGCCGTATCGCTCTCCGAGTTTGCCTTTTATGAGTGGCCGCGCGTCGATGACTGACTGAAAGAATTCAATGTACATACAAACGAGGCACTTTTGTCTCGATATCATTGCTCCGCATTTGTGCGAATTGATTGACGCGCCGCCGCCGCCGAGCGCGTGCATGCACTCGGCCTATACCTGATTGTTTACCTTGTCTCGTTTATAACGTACATAATGCGATGTTTGCGCTCATATACACGCATATCGCTTTGGTGCGGATTTTTAAAATTATATTCATATACTGTATATAATGTGCAACGTGTGTGTACACTGTATACAGAGCGAGACGCGATCGAAAAGTTGATCGATCGTCCTTTCTTTTTTTTTTTCTTCTCGCGCGTGAAATGAAAATATGCCGGGTATAGGGAATGCAGCCGCGCGCTGCTCATTTGTTCAAAGCGAGATAATGCGCGCAGGATTAATCGTTAACTCGCGAGCGATTATGTTATTATTATCATTGTTATTATGTACGTTTTCCTCGGCACTCCGACGTCGAGATACCGAACTGTTAATTTTTCGTCGACTCTTTCCGATAAAATTTTCTCGCGTGTACTCATAATCGCGCTGTACACAAGCTTGGCGCTGGTGTCCTTTTTTTTTCGTACACCCATGATGCTGGCCGTTTATCGTCGCGAGTTGATCATTTATTTAACCCGGCGCAGGTATGCGAAGGAATCCCTGTCTCTCGCGTCTTCATTGCATACCTATCCCCCCAACGCAACGAGGATGTCGACGACGAAGGATGGGACATTCGTTTGCGTCCGCCGAGTCGTTTCTCGGAAACAAATAGTAACGATATTCGACCGTAGGCATATATATACGTACTCCGCTTTATCGCGCGTAATAATTTTATGACGGGACATCTCTGTTACGTCTTTTTTGAGAAGCGGCCGCGACGGTGTGCAAATCGCAGTTCCATGAGTATCGAAAATTGATAAAAATCCAATCGATCACTCAAGTCGTATATTGCCAGTGTTATTATACGTTAGAGCTCCGTACATCAGGAGCTTGCTGGTTTGTTTACTTACTGTATTTCCAACTGTCTTTTGAGCGCTCGACGTTGTTCCAACGTAAGACATGCCAGACGCTTCGTCTGGCTCTGGACGCCAGAGTAATAAGCGCCTAAAGAAAGGAATCTCAGACCCTGAGCCTCCACCTGGGTCTCTTTTACTCTCAAAGGATGACGTGAATTGCATGCTCTCGGAGGTCGAGAAGCATAGAGCTGACCTATTGCACCTGTTATCGAATGAAAAAGATGCGAATTGCAAGAAGAAACTCAGGGAAGCGCTTAACGCCTACGCTGACATCATGATTAAGCTCTGCAGTGCCTACCTGTGTCGCATTACGGCTGATGAAGTGGCCAGTGCCTCCAAAAAGGTCATAGAGGATGCGAGTGCTAAACTCGAGCATACCTGCACTGCCTTGAACTCTGCCTGCACTGCGCTGAACTCTGCAGCCTCTGGGCTCGGCGCTCAGCGGGCCTCAACTTACGCTGGTGCTGTTGCTGATCATCGCGATAGACGTAGTGCAGCCGGGCGCGTGTCGCTCACCACAGGAAAATCTTTTAACGTGCCAAAGCGGGAGAGAATTATCATTGGACCTACCGACAGTGCCAAAAATCGATACACGTCGTCAAGTGTAACCAAGGACGCCTTGGTAAAATGTATTGATCCGTCCAGACTCAAAATTGGTGTTAGTCGTCTTCGTTACGGTCCGTTGAATTCGGTGATCATTGAGGGGGACTGCCTCAGCGCTGAAAAATTCTCTGGGTGCACGGGCTTGTCTGATGCCGGACTTGAGATCAAGCGCGATGCAAAGCTTATGCCACGCGTCGTCGTTCACGACATACCTGTCGATTATACGAGCGATAGTATCTGCGAATCAATCGCTGCCCAAAATCTACCCGAGGCAACGTCCGCAGATTTGAAAATGGTCTACCTGTACCCGGCTGGTACGAAAAAACACCGATCCTGCATAATAGAACTCAAGCCTGAGTTCAGAGCTATCCTCATGAATCGGAAACGCGTAAACATTGGCTGGATGTCTTGTCGCATTGATGACCATATTAACGTCTTACAATGCTTTAAATGCAACGGATTTAATCACACCAAGGATAATTGTGAAGAAACTGCTCCAACGTGTGGTAAATGTGCAGGCACTCATCTGTCCAGTGAGTGCACCGAGTCGTCTGTGCTGCACTGCATTAATTGCGAAAAGGCTGGCTCCACCAATGTCGAACATGCTGCCACGGACAAGTCGAAATGCCCAATACTCAGGAAAAAAGTTGAGCACAGGATCTCGCAGATCGACTATGGCGAACTTTAACTGTGATCTATCGTCTGCGATGCTCTGTATGGGTCACATCAATGCGCAGTCTCTTTACCCGCATATGGAGGATGTGCGCGATCTCGTCACCCGGCATCGTTTGCATGTGCTGGCGGTGAGTGAGTCGTGGCTCAAGCCTTGGAGGCCCTCGTGCTCTGTATCCATAGACGGCTACAACCTTCTTAGAAAAGACAGGGTCGGAAGGCGCTCGGGCGGTGTCGCGCTATATGTGCACAGGTCTATAGGATGCAGGCTGATCTATGCCTCCGATAAAAACTATACCGGGAGACCGGAGTTCTTGCTGGCGGAGCTCCTTGTTGGCGACTCAAAGATAATGTGCGTCGTTGTGTATGCGCCGGAGGCTGGATTCTGGTCGGACGTCGAGGATGCCGTGTTGCACTGCAGACTGAGGTTTGACTACATGGTGCTCCTTGGTGATCTAAACATCAACTGGACAAGCCTCGATAGACATTGTCGTGACCTGCAGGAGTCCTTGGTGACGTGTGGACTACGGAGACTCGATTTTTTGCCAACTTTCCATCGTGGAGACTCGCACACCAGCATAGACTATATATGTGTTAGCGACGTGTCGAGAGTGATCGATTTCGACCAGTTCTCAACTGTTGGCCTCTCGGAGCATGACTTTCTGAGGGTGCGATTGCAGTTTGAGGTTGGTGATGGCCGACGCACCGTTCTTGCGCGTCGCTGCTTCAAGAACTTTGATGGGGCCCGCTTTTACCAGGACTTGGCCGCTTGTGACTGGGACCAGCTGCTGCGGCTTCAGTCTGTTGATGATAAAGTGGAATACTTCACGGACACGATAAATGCGTTGTACGATAGGCACGC